CGACGGAGCTCAGGGTGTCAAGAGGTGGTCTGACGAAGCTTAGGATGTCAGGTGGTGGTCCAGCGGAGCTCAAGGCATCAAGTAGTGGTCCGGTAGAGCTTAGGACTTCAGGTGGTGGTTCGATGGAGCTCAGGCCATCAAGCGATGGTTCGGTGGAGCTTAGGACTTCAAGTGGTCGTTTGGCGGAGCTTAGGGTGTCAAGCGGTGGTCCAGTGGAGCTTAGGGTTTCAAGCGGTGGTTTGGCAGAGCTTAGGACGTTAGGTGGTGGTCCGGTGGAGCTCAGGGTCTCAAGTGATGGTCTGTCGAAGTTCAAGCCTCAGGTGGCGGTCCTGCGGAACTCTAGACGGTGGTCAAGGAGACAAGGAGACAAGAGTAATCTCCAATCTATCTCTTTTCTCATTAGGCTCAGGGGTCCCTTTTCAATAGGAAAGGAGGCTCTATTTATAGATTTCTTGGAGTGGCATGACCCGTAAATAAGTGGAAGATAAAGGGCAAATGGGGAGTGGTTTGGATAGATGACCGATGTTGGATCCCTTGATCATGGACTGTTTGATGGACATTTGAATGTCTTAGTGATGTCAGAATTTGGTGATCTTGGACTCGTTGGATTTTTCTCGTCAAGCCGCTCGATTCAACTATAAGCACGTTATGTTTGGAAACCGTTTGGTAATCCAAATTGTGGTTCACACCTTCCAACAATGCTTCTAACCCTTGATTTGGACCCATTTGGGCTCACATTGGGTAGAATTTGGAATTGTTGGGTTCATATTTTCAAGACGTTCAGTTGGACTATAAGTTTACTGAAATTAGAGTTTGATGGTCCCAGTTTTAATTTTGAAAGTTTCCAACTTGATTTTACCTTGAGATTCTTGCCCGATCAATATAACTTTCGAGGATGTATCAATATTAATTTCTTAGGGTGCTTATTTCAATGCTTTATTTTACATTTAAACTAATGGGCTAAAAAAAATACACCATGAACCTCATTCATGATCTTGTAGGTTACCTCTCTTTTAAGGTAATTTAATCACATATTATAAAATGAATGTTAGTATAAATTCTAATTAACATAAGCATAAGATAGAGCTCTTCTTTTAATCTAGTAAGCATTAGAGGATCCATCAGGGGTAATATTTAATGATTTTGCACTTCTATAGTGATGGGATACTCCTTACTCATGTTCAATTGTACTTTTACTAAAAAATTTTGCATCTATCATGCTATCAAGGTTACGAGGCACTTGAATCAATGTTACATCAATGATATTTTCAAAGAAGTTCATAATGTTCTAATGATAATATCAAGTCTAAGATGGGTTTCAAAAGTTTATAGGTTCCTACTACTTCATTGATGACCAATTAGAAGTCACCATAACTCTTAATATTCATAAACTCCACCTTAATAGGTAACCCTAAACTAGTAATCTTGGCCTCATATTTAACTTGTTTTTTTTTGCACACAAGTCTCATAAATTATGTAAGCATAGTAAAGCTCCTCCTAAAAGATAAATTAAAAGTAGCTTTACTTAGAGGACAATGCAATGGTTCATATACTTTTATAGGATAATGGTTCCTTATAATGAGACGAGCAAATCTCTCAATAGGATCAATGGATGAAAATCGCTCTATGGCCTCTATATTTAACATTTTCTTTTCTCTCTCCTCACATTTTCTTACTAATTTGTATTCCCACTCTCTCTTAGCCGAATTAAAATAGGAAAAAGAGATTTTTAATTTATATAGATAATGGGTTATGATACTTTAATAAAATAATAATGTAATATTAATATAATTATTTAACTTAATTAATTTTTTAATATAAAATTCATATAAATTATTTTGGAATTTTAAAAAAGTTATAAAAAATATTCATAAAATATCTCATTTTCTCTAAAAAATTATGGTGAAATTAGTTTGCAAAACGAACTCATGACGGTTTTAAAATCCTCACTTATATTGATAGGTATCAATTTCTTAAGGATTTTCACTAGTGACAAAAAAAATTATGAAAAAATTATTATAATTGAAATACAATAATATTTATCTTATGGCAAAGACAGCTTGTGATTTGAACTTAAAGTAACTCCTAAAAAAATCATTTATTTGGATCAAAATACGGGTGATTACATATAATATTTAAGCCTTTGCATAATAAAAAAAGGTGATATGATAAATTTCAATTAGGGGAGAACTTGTTTTTGCTGGAATCAAAATGTAGGTTAAGATAACATAATATGATCTCTTTTCTATTCTTATTAGACCGAGTTAGGAGGGCACCAAGGGATTTATCGAGTATGGAATCAAAACGCACCATGGTTTTCAAGAAAATCATTTCTTTGGATAAACTACGGTCTCCCTTAATCACCATATTTCTCCTCTCCATCTGGATCTCCATAGTTAAGGCCTTCTAGTCTACCTTGATCTCCCCCAAGGTTTCTAACCACTTCATACCCAAGATCAAATCAATACTTCCCAACCCCAATTGAAGAAAATCCTCTCTGATGTGAATCCCCTACAACTCTACTATGAATCTCTGACGGATACTCCTGCTCTTTTCCACCTTCCTTGCACCCATAATCACCCCAAAGAATCACGTGTGTACCACCTTTAGCCCCATTTTGTCAACCACCTGATTGGATATGAAATTGTTGGTAGCCTCACTATCCACCAAAATCACAATCGCTTCCCCACATATCTATCCTTTCATTTTCAGAGTGTGGTTCGGGATGAATCCCACTACAAAATTCAATGAAACATCTGCCACTTCTAAGTGTAAGGGCTTCTCTTCCTCTACCACTTCTCCTTCTGCCTCTACTCTACCCATCTTCTCTTCATCACAAATAAAAATGACTTGAAATGTGCGATTTTTGCACCTATTTTTCGGTGAAAGCTTCTCATCGCACCTTTAACATAGCCCATTAGCCCTTTTTTCCTCCAGCTCTATATCAGTTAGTCGTTTAAAATTTCCTCCCGGCCGAGCTCCCAAACCTTTCTCCTTTGAAGCTTTTTGTTGACCCGGTATAGTCGGCACCCTAGGTGCAAAGAAGTTGGTCGTCATGCAATAAGAACCTCCAAAACTGCTTCCCTTGCTACTCCTTTCAAGTGAGTTTTTTTCCTCTATCAACTGGGCTGACTCCATATCCTCTCCCAAGTCACAAAGTCTTGCCACTCACACAGTGGCTCTTAGCTTTGGTTTGTGTCCCTTAATAAAATTTTCCTCAAACACCGTCTCTAGTAGTCTCCCTAAATGTCCCGACAGAAGCTCAAATCTATCTCAACATTCCATCACTATTTTCACCTATATAAAATCAAAGGCTTTCCTAGTGTAAGGGTAACAAACTTTTGAAGTGACATTATCTAACATTTTATACTTTAAAATATCTCCTAGAAGCTCTTATTATCCAAATGGAACTTAAAATTTTTATTTGTTAGATAGGAAAATGATTGGCATCTACCAAAAAATAAAAATGAAATGCCTAAGATACACTAACCTATCTTAAAATTATCTCAACTATGTAAGACTCACAAGAGGTTTCTTATCTAATAGGGCTTTAATCTTAAAATGGTCAATTTCAATTTTAAGATGTCGAATAACAAAACCATTGAATTTTCATGAGATGACACCAAAGGGATATTTTAAGGGATTCATTCTAAGTTTATGGCTATTTAAAAATAGTTCTCAAATCAAAGAGACAACCTTCTTTAGGTTTACTCTTGACCGCTAAATAATTGACATACCACTCAACCTATTTGTGAATGAGGTCATTGAAGATATGGTTCATTGCCTTTAATTAGGTTACACTTATATTTTTTAAACCAAATGATATCACCTTATAAGTATATATTCTTAGAATGGTTTATTTCTACAAAATTTTTTGCCTATTTTGATGTTATTGTCTTTGTAGTTTCAATGTAAAAAAAACTTGTCTCTCTCACACTTATACAATATAAATTATAAAATAAACAAAAAATGTTAAAATTCTTGCAGTCTATCTATTTATTATAAAATTGATGAGCGCAAAACCAATTATTTTTAAAATTAGGGTCAAACACTTATAAATTATGTTAGTGTAATACATATCTTAAATTTTGATCATAAGCATAATTGCATCATAGGCATACGTATGTATGGTTAGTCTTGACTGGCACATCGAGTATTATTTCCCCTTAAGAATTACATTCCTTGACTTCATTAACACCTCAGACTCTCAGGGAAAACTTATCCAGTTAATGACACCTTAGCTTAAGATAAATTGTCCTAAGAAGTTCAAGTTTTGATTGATCATGATCATAAATTCAAGTCAACCTTCAATGCAATTAACATTTATCAATTTTGCTACTAAGGAATATCGAGCATTCCCAAGCTTAATACTAGGGGTGTCAATTTCAGGTCATGGGTTGGGTTCGGGTCGAACCCATAACTAATCTGGGTTCAATCGAGTTGACCCTAACCCGACACGGGTAGGTAAACGGGTCTAAATTAAGACTTTGTTTGGGACAGTTTTCTTATTAAAAAATTAAAATTTATGTACTAAAAAGCTGCTTTAAGAAGTGGTAATAAAGTCGTCCCAAATGAAGCCTAACTTACACCTATGTTAACAAAAAAAAGTTTATGCCAAGCGGTTTTGATGAGATTTTTGCTAGAATGTATTTAGAAATTTGCCTCTTAGCATTTAGACATTTTATAATATTATATAACTTTCATTTATAAAATAAATAAAAAATATAAAAAAATATTATATATAATAAATAATAAAAAATAAAATAATTAAATATAATTATTAGAAAAAATTAAAAAAAAATAACACGTGTTAAAATTTTAAATTTTTTTTCTTATCAAAAGATTTAGATTTTTTTTTCTGCGTTAATATGACAAATTCATTGAATATAGACTCCACAGCCCTTTCGCGCAGGTCTGCCCATTAATAACCAGTCTGTTCTATTCTTCTTTGGAAGGTTGTTAGCCATGAAATGTATAAAATGCATGAGCTACAAGTTACTCGATAAGCCATTGGATAAATGTAATTAGAAGAGAAATTGCCATCTAAGAGCGCTTGGGGGTCTCTGAACTAGCCGACGCAGTTTGCGTCATGGATAATATTTACTCTTTTTATAGATAAACGGTGCACCAAAGATCGAAAAGGGCGCATGGCCATCGTCAAAAGGGTTGATCAATCGAGCTGAAGAGGGGAAAGTCCCTCAAAGAAGAATTTACATAGAAAAACTTTGTAAAAGTAACGTTATTGAATTTCAAATACACAAGCAGCGCAGAGGTACCACTTTCGCCTTCAATATCGGACGCTATATTCTTTTCTTTGTCTTTTTGCCGGTTGGATTTTGAGACAGACCTTTTTTTTTTGGCGTTAATTTGATGATCGAACTCCGAAAACTTCGGTTTTTTGTCGATTTTTTCTCTTCTTTCGGTGTATGTTCTAATATAGAGTTTAGTAACGGCTCATTTGACTCTTTCATATAACCCTAGGAACCACGAATTTTGTTCATCGGGGAAAAAAAAACCCTTTAATTGGTGATCAGATTCTTCGAGTAGTAGAAAGTATACTGCCCCTAATTTTCACTGTACTGATTGCGAAATCTGCCGCTGAAGTGAAGCCAAGCTCTGTGTTTTCTCCCTTTATCTTAATTTTCTTTTTTATTGTTTTCGAGAACCTTTTTGTTCTTCCGGGTTACTTATGGCATCGCCATCTAGTTCCAAATCCGAGCCAGCTATAATCGAGCAAGTTATCACTGAATTCTTTGCTAAAAGCGTCCACATCATTCTCGAATCGAGGTCTCCATATGTTTCTTCCCGGAACTACTGTGCTGACCCTTTCATATCATCCCCTTCTTCCTCCTCGTCTTCATTGAGCTTTAGACCAAGAGATAAATGGTTTAATTTGGCCCTGAGAGACTGCCCAGCTGCATTAGAGAATTTTGACTTATGGCGGCAGAGCAACCTTGAGCCATTGGTTGTTGACGTAATCTTGATTGATAGGAAATCAATTCGGAATGTGAGTTTTCCTTCTCCAAGTGGGTTCCTTGTGCGGAACCTCTCTTCAGGTCGAGATGAACTTGTAAGTGAAAATAGAAGTGAAAAGATTGTGGAGAGGTGGATTGTGCGATATGAAAGTCAAAGTAGCAGTTGGCTCACTAGGGAATCTTCTCATCAAGGAAGAAAGAAAGGAAGCAGGGCTACCTCCCACTCATCTGAATTCCAGTTCATGTACAAGAAAGCTTACAGGAGGATCATAGTCTTACTCAGGTCTCTGTATGCTGTTGTTAGGCTTTTACCCACTTACAAGCTCTTCAGAGATCTCAATGCCTCTGGTCAGATCCACCCACTGAGCCTTTCTCACAGGATTTTATCTGTTGTGCATCCTTTTAATCGTGAGGAGGATGCTGAGATTAATCAACTTGGTCTTGGGCCGCTTGACACTTTTTTCGGAAAGTTGTCCCTTTCTGTCACGTATTTGAAGAAAATTGAAGTTATGGGCTCGGAACCTTCCACTCCCATGTCTACTCAATTTATTATGGATTATGTTGGGAGCCCTCTGGCTGATCCTCTTAAGAGGTTCCAATCACTTCCTTATAGTGGATCAGCACCTTCATGCACTTCATTAAACAGAAGGCATAGTTGGAGCAATGATCATGGAGAAACTCCTTCCTTTTCTCTTACTCCATCACCTACATATTCTGATTCTCGAGCTTTGGATTGTAATTTGAACCCCAATCTCCGGCCTCCCAATCATTTGCTTGACACCTCTTCATCACCACACCGTTTACTGAAAGGTTCATATGCAGCCTATACCAAAAATTTTGATGAGTACAAGCCATCACCACCATTTTCCCCATCATTTTCCCCATCCCCTCCATCCCATTTGTCCAAAGCTCTTATACGCTCAGAGAGTGCTCCAGTTAGTATCCCCTTGCCAGGGCAAAAGGGACGTAATGGAGGCCAAATTCAAGGTCTGCCTCGACCTTATTCTAGCAGCAAGAGGCAGGGGTGCCGTTCTCAAGCAGATAGTTTTGGCACCGAACTTAGCTCAACATCCACTCCTCAGACCCTTTCACCTGAAAATAAGTTGCAACTAAAGAAAGAATCATTGATGTTGATGGAGTTGCAAACTGGCATGTTGCCCCCCAAGGTAGTACTTTATTCATAAAATGTTAGCATAGAAAGAAAATTTTGATTTATATAGTCATTGTGCTTTCTATGCTAGGTCTACTTTACATAACTAGTTTTGTGTTTGCAGCTAAAGTGTATTACTCAGGATTGGCATGTTCTTTTGTAGATTTTCTCTTCTGGAAAAGACCATACTGGAAATATATCCATTTATAAAGTTCCATCTTACACTTCATCACATATACCATCTAGAAGCTCCAGCAGGTTATCTTCTATGGATGACTTTGATGATTCTGGCTTTACCTACCCTTTTGCTGAAGATGATGAGGAGGTTACAAATTCGTACAGGTATGCTATAAATGGAGTGTAAATCATGAATATTTTTTATGATCCACTCTGTTCTAAACTTGGTAGAACAATATGCTTCCATGCTTCTTCTGCGGCTACTAATTAAACCCCTCAAACCAAATTTAGTTACGTCCCTTTGTATTCATTCACTTCTTTTGCTCATAAAGCTTCTGCAATTCCGTAATGAATGTATTTCTTTTACTTTTTTTTTTCAGTTGCTCACTGTTCTGATGCTCATTGTTCTTTTTTTTTTAAATATATGTGGTCAAAAGTGTTTGAGCTAGGAAACATGCAGGCAACATATGTAGTGGCCTCATGTATATTTCCTTTTTTACCAACTTTTTGAGAAAAGTAATTGGAGTATATGGCAGTCTGGAAACGTAACAAATTGTGTGGAAGTCCAAGTTTATATGATCTACTTGCTCCTGACCTGATATTGACCATTTTTTTTGTGTTATTTGTGTGCATTTTCTAGCTGTAGATGTACATGTCCAAATTATTAAGTCTATTTTTCATTAGCTTATCTTCAATAGATATTACTCCCACTATCTCTTTAATATAATCATTCCTCAACATTTCTTTTCTAGTTTTGCTAGACTTCTATATTGGCATTTTCATTTCAATAGCATTCATCTTGGTTATACATGACTTTGAACTTTCAAACATTTGAAATTATACAACAGAATTGACTTGGTCATATACTCATATATGACTTTGAACTTTCAAACATTTGAAACTGTACAACAGAATTGACTAAAGTATTATTCTTTAAAATGCGCCTTTAAGTACTCATGATATTTTCTTATCACATAAGACTCTTTAGGCACTTGTCCATTTTAATTAACTAACCTTAACCATAGAACTTAGATGTTTATCCATATCTCTATTTTTTTATAATATATCCAAGATAATTAAATCTGTCAGCTATATATCACTTTATCTTATTTTAATGTGGATTGATATTTATTAATAGCATATATACTAAAATTCTATGTCATATGCCTAGCCTTTGTTCTACTATATTTAAGACATTTATATTCTAAATTTTCACTTATTTCACTTTCTATCTCATTAAGTAGAGTTGTATCATATGCATAAAGCATATTCCTAGGTATCTTGCTTTGAATATCCTTTGTTGACATCTTCATAACTAATGTAAAATGATATTGGCTTGATTTTGGCCGCAACAACCAGTTCTCTGCCTCAATTGGTCATTCTACACATTTAAATAATGATGGTCTCATATCATTTAATAACTTTAAATATTTATCCGTATTCATACCACTATTATTGCCACTTCCTGATGGTTAATTTCTTGAGTCCTAAATTAATTGAGTCATAGCTGTCATCATTTGTGTATGAGCATGAGGATTAACAGCCATATTAGACACTGCTCTTTCCACATCTTCTTCAGGATCATTCTGAGTCCTAAGATAAAATAAGATATCTTTAGAAAATTCATAATTTAATCTTAAATGAACTTTCTTAACTTCAATAATCAACTTAATGGCTCTTTCAGTATGATTGATATCCTAATTGGGTTTTGATATCACTTTTATCATGAGTCGGCTCAAATTCTTGAACCATCGAGGTGGGACCGAATAGTCGGACGATTATAACATTTTTTTTAATTTCAAAAAAAGTATGTCATCTATATTACAAATAAAGTTGAAGAGCTACTAACATAATTTCCATCAAACTATTAATAAAATTTTCACATCTTAACATTTACATCAATCTTTATTACATGCTTTCATTTGAGCACCGTTTTCTGTAGACGTACTCTTCTTTTCAGCCATATCTATTTCTCTGATGATTTATCTAAAAAATTTTAATTTAAATGTTTGAGTTCACAAAGTAAACTCAGTGGATAATCATATCTGTAGCATAGCAATTTTACATATATAAAATAACATATTCATTTGGCTTTCTTTTGCATTTACACACATGCGCGCGCGCGCACACACGCGCACACACACACACACACATATATATATATCATTTCTCTCTCATATGACATATATTCTTTATTTACATTTATCATATAGCATATTTCTTTTTTCAATTTATATTTGTCAATTAATATATTCCCTTTCCCTTTTTCATTTAGCACAGGAGCACCATCTAAATGTACCAAATATAGGTACAATCATTTTCATTTACTTTTAACATGCACGGGTACATTGCGTCCCCAATCAGTACCATAAAAAAGTGAATTCATGTAATTTGCATGCATATACTTTTTTCTTTTCATTTATACATTTATTTCATTTATTTGTATACATTTATCTTTAAATGATTTTGAAGAATATTTGTATACATTTTAATTTTACTTTCTTTTTCTTTCCATTTATTTTCAATCCACATACATGTATTTTACCTATTATATATATATATATATATATATATATATATATATATTACTTTAATGCCTATGGCTTTCGTCATTATAAACATAATAACTTTCAAACATTCTAGTTAAATAATCAGAAAATTATATGTAACAAAATTTAGAATCATGTAATTATTATAAAATGCAATAATTACCCACTTTTATACTTCGGAATTTAGTTCATTTCAAATCTTCAACTCTTGAAATAATTTTCTTTATTACAATCCAAATTCACATACAATCATATAAATTATTGCCATCTTTAACTTTCATTAATTTCACATAAACATTTTTTTTAATGAATTCTTACCTCAAATCCCTTGAGAAATCATTTATTGGCTTCAACACTTCACTTTCATGCATTAGATTAATCAAATCCTCTATTGATCCAAACCATATTAATTTACATTAAATTTTACTAACAAATTTTGAAGGAATCCTCAAATTCAAAGCAATGATAATAAATTCTAATTTGCATCTTTTATCTCAATTTGTTTCTTCTTGCCGAATCGAACTTCCACCAATTTTTTATTTATTCCTTTCTAAAATCATACACTATTGATTGTCATTAAAATAAATTTTATAAATTCTATTATTCAAAATTTGAACAGAAAATAATATGATTAAAATCACTTACAAAGGAGAATTATTCCAACATAAAATCTTTCTTCTTTCTCTCTCAAGTTCTCTTCCTCTTTATCTCCAAATTAATTTCTCTCTCTTTCTCAATTTCTTCTTTCGCCTTCCTTTAAAACAATTGATCATTTTATAGGATTAAGTCACAGAAGAAATGTTTAGAAAATGAATGAAATTAGAAAAACTACCCTTCTCCTTCCTCTCGGCACAGAGCTTCTGTAGTGTCCTTTTCTTCTGTAGGAATGAACGAATAGAAGTTATGACTCACGAGGAGTCCTAACTTTTCACTCTTGTATGCGATCCTTCACTTAGAACCACGAACCATCCTCGTCTGGAGAGTTTATGCACGCAAATGGCCACGTGCGGTCCGTTTGTTTTCCGTTCGGCCATAGCTTGGGTCAGTTTCTACCCCTTGTTATAGTAATAGGTTGGCTCAATTGAACCGGCCAGGATGAACCAACTATTACAATATTTATTTTTTTGCGTCTCTACTTTTGAACTCTTCTTGAATTTCACTTTTAGTGATTTATATGATAGATTATATACTAAAGAGGTGAAAAAGATATGTATAAGTTAGCCAAGCAAAAAGATAGTATAGTAGAAGTAATGATCCAATTCAAGTGAAATGCATTAAGGATGAATATAAAAAACATTTTTTTAGAAGAGTATATTCAACATAGGTGGATGAGATATCCCAATAAGCTTTTCAATAAAGATTTTGAGAATACGATTGACTTAGTAATCCTAGCATCTTGAATGAAAATAAGGATTTTTATTTTTATTTTTGTAATAGTAAAATCGAAATGGGCAAGGCTTTAAATAAAATGAAGTATGGAAAAATAGTGGAACTTGATGATATTCCAATAGATGTGTGGAATGCTTAGGAGATTAAGGAATTTCTAGGCTTATTAAAAATTTTAAAATTAATTTGAAAACTAAAAAGATGCTAGATCAGCAGAGAAGAAATGTGTTGGTTCTTTACTTCTTTCTACTAAAAATAAATATGATGCACAAGAGTGTGAATTATAAATGAATTAAGTTAGTGAGTCATACATTAATATTATGGGAGAGTAATTGAGCATAGGTTGCAACGTGATACTAATGTTTCTCAAAATCAAATTAGATTCTTGCTGGGTAAGTCTACTATGCAACTTATGTATTTGTTGAGAGGTTTGATAGAGAATTATACAGAGAGTAAGGAAGATCTACATGATATTTATTGCGATAGAGAAAATATATGATAAAGTTCTAAGAGAAGTGCGCTGGAGAGTTCTAGAAAAAGGAGTTAATGATGCTTATATTCAAGTCATGTATACAGGAGCATAGGTTGCAACATGATACTAATGTTTCTCGAAATCAAATTAGATTCATGCTGGGTAAGTCTACTATGCAACTTATGTATTTGTTGAGAGGTTTGATGGAGAAGTATACAAAGAGTAAGGAAGATCTACATATGATATTTATTGCGATAGAGAAAATATATGATAAAGTTCCAAGAGAAGTGCGCTGGAGAGTTCTAGAAAAAAGGAGTTAATGATGCTTATATTCAAGTCATGTATATAGGAGCTTTTAGTTGTGTTCAAACACAAGATGGTTTGACCAAGTGTTTTCCTATTTCAGTTGGATGACATCTTAAGCCTATATCTTTTTGCTTTAGTCATGAATGTTCTTACTAGACATTTGCAAGATGTACTATGGTGTGTGCTTTTTGATGACGATATTCTTTTTGGTGTTAATATTAGAAAGAAAGTTGAAGGAAAACTTGAATTATGGAGGTCAACCTTAGAGTCTATAAGTAATTTGTTTGAGTAAATCTAAAACCGAATATATGGAGTGTAATTTTAGTAGTAATAGATCTAGTGGTGAGATTGTGAAGTGGATGATCAAGTCATTAAAAAGAGTGCCTCTTGGGTCTATTGTTCAAATCTATAGTGAAATAGATGGATATATTATTAGCATAATTAAAGTTGGA